GGCTCTTCCCCTGCAGCGCGGCGCAGGGCGGGGTCCTGAAGTAAAGGGTCTCGGCCTTCGAGTGGCCCCCCGGCCCCGTCGGCTGCACGGTCACCTTATACTTGCAGGAAAACGCTAGGTCTCGGAGGATCATGTAGTTCTCCTGGAGCGAGACAGAGGAACGCGGTGGCTGTACACCCCCTTCAGGGTGTTGCCCGACATCGAGGGGGGGTGCCATGTGGCCTCTGCAAGGAGCACAGGGCAGCCTGTCCACGCTTTTTATTTTATTAAAATACTAGAGGCCCGGTGCACAGATTCGTGCACTGGTCGGGGGCGTGGCCTGCGGGGATCGGCCCGCTGTGGGAGCCCCCCTCATCTCGGTCAGCCGAGCGGCACTCTCGCTGTGGGAGCACACTGACCACCAGGGGGGCAGCTCCCGCATTGAGCATCTGCCCCCTGGTGGTCAGTGTGTGTCATAGCGACCGGTTTTTCAGTTGCTTAGGCTTTTATATCTATAGATTTGCTGTCAAGAGAAACATGTAGAAAGGCAGAGGTGAGTGGGAAAGAAAGGGAGAGAGATTAAAGGAAGCCTGAGAACAGATAGGAGCACACACATGGGGGACAGCTGGGGACTGCTGATGTCAGAGGTGGAAGAGGCTCTCTCGCATGCAGTGACTGAGCGAGAACGTGGCCGACTCCAAGGGGAGTGCTGTCTTATGCTGTGAACAGTGGGAGCACGTGCTGGGGGTCCGGAGGCGAGCACGCACCTTGTACAGTATGGCTGTGATGAGAGCCAGCAGCAGCAGTCCTCCCACGGAGCTGCCCACAATGAGGGGCACGGGGTTGTGGACCTCCTGCTTCTCCAGCACCACCTCCGTCTGGAAGGAGGTGACCCCATCAGAAAGCATCGGGCGTCTGGCGGCCCCGGCTCCTCCCAGTCTCTCCAACCTTTAACTTCCTCCCCGGCCTCCCTGGGCCAGACTCCACGGGCTGAGCCACAGACGCCCTCAGGGGCTTAGGGACAACTGTCCCCCCCAGGGATCTTCACCCCCTCCCTCCAGCCTTGTGAGCCCCGCCCGGCACACGGATTTAGCGTCAGAAGCCTCTCGCCAACCTGGCTGCTGCCTAGCACACAGTCACTACCTGGGCTCTCAGAGACGCCTCCTGGCCCGGGAGCTGGGCATACACAGATCTGTCGAACGTGATTTCCGCCACACTCACCACCGATACCTTCTTCTGCAGAGTCTGCAAAAGGGCAGGAGAGCTGGCAGCTAGCTCTGGGGAAAGCTTGGCGTCAGGGAAATGCCCTCGCTCTCCACTGAGGCCGGGCACAGACATTCAGGGACTACGGGAGGCGGAGGCTAGGGGCGGGGCTCTGCCGCTGGGCCCACCCACCTGGCTGACCCAGCCGAAGCTGAGGTTGCCCTTCAGGGTGAAGTCCAGTTCTTCCTGGGTGCCGAAGGAGGGGACGTCACAGCGGAACCTCCGGCAGGCAGCAACGGAGCAGTCCTAAGGGCAGGATAGCAATGAAGTTAAGGAGGGCCTTAACTTAGGAACCACAAGTCGAGAAAAAGTGTCAGATTTGGGGTGAGGAACAGGTTAACAATTATAGGACATATACAGGATGTCCAAAAAATGTGTATATACTTTCACAGTTGATAGTTCAACTTTGAAAATGAACTGTATTTTAATAAACAATGCCCTCATACATTTTTGGGGTTACCCTATAGATAGCTCTGCATGTCCCTGTGTTCCCCGATGAGCTGCTGGTCCTATAGGGGAGCCCAGGGCCTTGCTCACCAGCACAAGACTCCTTGGAATCCGAGTCTGGAAGTCAGAATGCTGGGGAGGTTCCATCTCTGACACACAAGGGAGATTCTAGTGAGAGGGAAACAGCCACAGAATGATCAAAACGTCACTGGCGAGAGGGTGCGAGGCACAGTGGGATGAGCCCTGCACACTGAGGCGAGCCAGGCAGGCACCTGTGAGGAGGCCACCGCAGCCACATCCCACACAGCCACGCCGTTCAGCAGGACGGGAACCCAGAAGTGAACGCTGATGGCCAGATCCCGCTGACTCAGGTTATTCACCTGCAGAAAATCGAGACAACATTACGGTGGCCCCCGGAGCATCCCAAATCCCCTTTCTTTCCTTTTGGCTCTAGCCCTCAGGTCCTCTCCACCTTTGCCCACCAACTTTCAATGTCAGCAGCGCCGTGGGAGGGCAGACACGAATATTTCCTGGCGCCTCACATGATATCGATGCTCAGCTTCTTTCCTGCTCTTTTCATCAGAAGTGGAAAAGTTGAAGTACTTGGTGGATTCTTCCTTCCTGGAGAAAGAGGGCTTGTTGGTGAAATGGCGCTGGGACCATCCGCCGGGGACCCAGGGTTCCCACAAGCCTCTGCAGCCTCAGCTTCAGCTCCCCCGTGCCCTTTGCCCTCTTCACCAGAACTGCCAGCTCGTCCCTGGGTGCCCTGGCTCTCTCAGATCCCCAATGCCTTTGCCCTTACTCACTCCCCTTCTGGAAATTTTCACTTAAAGGCATAACTTAAACATCACCTCCCATAACATTTGAACATTTCCCATGGGAAAAAGGTGTTTACATGCTTTTTGTAGATTTGCTTTCTCTAGCCCCAATTTTCAATCTGTGCTGTAAACATGCAATACCTATTTATTTAGTCAGGAGCGCTGATCTCCATTCCCTTAGATTGTAAAAAAAAAAAAAAAAAAAAAAAAAAAATGACAACGGCCAACACAACAATAGCAAGCCGATGAATGAATCAAAATTATACCTATTTTTGGTCAGATTGGCAAAACATATATCTTCTGAGGGTGCCCCAGAACTTTAGTAATTAGTTTATGTGCCATGAGACAAAAAAGGTTGGAAACTGCTGTTCTAGTAGATTAAGGTTGACTTCAGGTGAGGCTTGCTCAGGCTACTGTAAGAACACATAAGCCTAAGGAGACTCACAGGAATGATGACTGGATCACTCAAAAAATGGAGCATGAGCACCTCCAAAACGGGGATGAAGAAAATAGACATGACTATCCCGGGCAGTTAAATAAACGTGATGGAAGATGGCACATGGACACAAGCTCATGGACTGGACATAAATGTTCTTGGCTGCAGGTGGCGTTCCATCCTTCCATCCTTCCATCCTTCTATCAATCCTTCCATCTTTCCATTCATCCATCCATCCATCCATCCACCTATCCATCCATCCATCCATCCGTCCTTCCATCCACCTATCCGTCCATCCATCTACCTATACATCCATCCATCCATCCTTCCATCCATCCATTCATTCATCCATCTACCTATCCATCCATCCACCTATCAGTCCATCCATCCACCTATCTGTCCATCCATCCACCTATCCATCCATCCATCCATCCATCCACCTACCCATCCATCCTTCCATCCACCCATCCATCCATCCATCCATCCATCCATCCTTCCATCCACCAGTCCGTCCATCCATCCATCCATCCACCTATCCATCCACCTATCCATCCACCTATCCATCCTTTCATCCATCCATCCATCCATCCATCCACCTACCCATCCATCC